GACAAAATAATTGGTCAGTTACGGCGTTTTTATTTGAAATTCGTGGCATGAAAAACGGTGCTAAAACCGCTTCGTACATGTATTTATGTGCACTGTCGGGCACTGTTAGCGCGAACACAGCATCGGCGCTTTCCACCATGGGGGATATACGTGTCGAACGAACGAAGTACATGTGGAAAACCAAGAGAGACGGCAAGAACTGCGCAGTAACACTGGATAAGCAACTCCTTGTGCATGCAGGCGATCAAAATAAATTGAAAGCCACGTAATATAGTCCGATTTGCAATAAATAAGTACTGGCGTTTTATTCTTTCTGCTCATGAATATGTGCGAAGATGCTTGTTCTGGGTTCAAATCATCACCCACACGCTCCAAATCTTTGCAAATAGGGAGCAGGTGCCAGATAAAAACTGCCCGACATAGGTAATAATAAAAAGGCACACCTTTCGTAGTCCACGTACTTTATTTCTTACATTCAAATGTTTTTTAACCGTCGTAAAGAAGCACGAAGGAGTCATTTTCATAGAGTGACAGGACGGGCATATTAGCAATATATAAGCGCCACCGCAATGCTAGCGAACCTTGAACACACTCTACATTCTTTTCAATCGTTAGTTTGCTTAGAATCGTCGCTCGTTTTTACATACCTGCCATGGAACATAGGTTTGGGCCTGAAATATAGCGAAGCTTCACATCGTTCAGTGGTAAAGAAAAATGCTGTAATTAAAGCAATTACACTTTTACAATATTAATAAATGTACATAGTATCCGGTACAACCAAATTAATAAAAGTTATTCATGTTATTTTCCGGCGAAGAGACAAATTTCACACGCGTTTTCCCATAGGAATGCACAGGAGCACCGCAAAAGTAGACTGGTTGCTGTCTGCTTCAATTTGCCTCCCAGAAGTCGCATAGACACTAGCGCCAGTTGAACCTCTAGCGTACATTATAATAACTCTGTCGTCGTCGCGGCGTCCCAACTTCCGGCTGCCGCAGCTTCCGTGGACAGAACGGGCGTCTGTCACGTCCACCGCCTGGATCGCGACCGTCGCCAGCGTGACACTTCTATGACGTCATCAGGAGGAAATTGAGGGACCTCTCTTTTGGGGAGGGGACGCGTTCCAGTCACCATGGTGGGACTGCTGCTTTAGGGTTTCACAGTCAAGACGATCGTCACACACCAGCAGACAGATGCTGGCACCAAGAAAGGCAGCGCGAAAGTTCCCGAAAGAAAGAATCCCCCACTTGGATACTTGGACAGAGCCCGAGCGTCAATCGGTCACGAGGTGACATGTATTTGTTATGGCGACCGATATCCGTGACTTCGCCTCTAGGTGCCGCCAGCCAATGGGGTCACGGACCGTCCTCGGTGATAAGACGCCCGGTATGTCGCTTCGGTTTGAAAGCGTCTCCGATGTCAAAGTTCCCGCCAAAAATATTTGTATCAAAAACAAAATTTTCGTTGTTCTTGTGTTTTTTTTGTGTGTTTTTTTATTTTCAATTTTGCGACGTGAGGCTGTTTCGTTGTTTTAATACGTGAGTGTAAATATTTATATAAAAAAATTAGTTTTCCATTGTTCGTGAGCCGATCGAAATTCGCTGGTGACAGGCTATCCACACACCGGTGAAACAGGTGTACATCTTCGTACCACCACCGCATGCGGTGTCGGTGCTTGGAGGTAAAAAAGAATATTTTTTTCGGTGTTGAAATACGCAGCAAGAACAATATAATAGATCCGTCGAGATGGGCATGATTGATAACTTAATTGACTGCATACACAATGCCGCTTATGTTGGCGAAGAAAACCCTCAGTATACGGTGATGCTCCATGGTGATCCTGGTGCGACTGGATTAGAATGACCCTCGGGGAGCTTCGAAGATTTGAAGGGGCCGAAATAGCGATTGCCATAGCAACGGAGACCGATTAGCCAATCGCCTTGCGAGGTTTTGGTCGTCTGTACGTTAGTATTTGTCTGTGTTCGGCTAGCAGGCAGGGAAGGGAACGGCGCTACTTTCTTAGGACCCGGTGAATTCGGATAAATTTAAAACAATCTATAAGCGAAAAAAAAAATTATATCTTCTTGCGCACGCGCTTGCATTTACCGCACTAAACGTGAGAGCATGGAACGGTTTTAGATCGTTCCATATCCACCAATAAGAAGTATTCACTGAACGCCATATTTGAGGGCGATGTTTAGAGCGCATGCTCACAGCGAGCTCATATTAATAGGCTGCTAAGACCGCCACTTATGATGGTGCGGAATGCACGTTGCAAAAGAACTGTGGAAAGCTCGCCATCAGCACGCGTTCAGCAGTTGCGCACACGACTATGGCCGCCAGTGAATACTCCATATAAAATTTCCCACAATAAAGAAAGCAATCCTTACGTCCTTTTGTAGTACTCAGCAATTTGACGCCATTAGGTGAGATTTTGGTTACACGTTACAGGCTCAAGACATCCCCCAGGCAAGTGTGATGGCAAGATAGGACGATTCAGCCACCTCGCATGTCCCGATGCCGATTTCGCAGTGACGCCTCACGAGCGTCTTCTGAACAAAACTTTACACAGATGCACGCTAGATACACGCACTCATGTTGCCAGCGGCGTGAGAACAGGGGTGGTGGGCAGGGGGCGACCGCCCAGCCTTACAGACATTTCAAATCGTGGATCTAGGCCACGTCCTCGTAAGTGCCCCACGGAAAGCTGCTCTGGCGAAAGACGCAGTGCCGACAAAGTTTCGGGGCTATCCTGCTTTCTGACGAAGAAAAAGAAAAAAAAAAAAAAAAGAAAGAAAAAGAACTTGCGAACCGCCAGTGCCCTCTTTTTAACGAACGGCACTATTTTTAACACATCCAGTTTTACTTCACCAGGAAGTGCAAGAGTAGTGCACCTTTACTATTTGTTCGTAACGTGCTGCTTGTCCTTAAAAAGATAATACAACGAAATTTCGGCGCCTTTTTTTTTTTTTTTTTTTGGTCTATACGTGTTCAAAGGAGCAGTTTCACATCGGACACACCAATATCTTGTTTAAAAAAAAGACACAAAAAGGAATTTTAATACAAATTAAACGATTAGCAAAGAGCACCTGGTGGATGGCGCGTAAAGCCTCATTTGTAATGCCCGTCTAGGAACCTTGACAGGTAGTGACGATAACTGTCTCGCCTAAAACTATGCATGCTTTGAACCTGACGTCATCCCGACAGCTCTACGGCCAGCACAAGAGAAGAGGGGAGGGAGGAACTCCCCACTTGACGGAACTCTCTTTTGTGTGCCAGAGACGTCGCTATTCTCCCTCTACACGATTATAGAAAATCAAACAGTCACTAAAAATTCACACAAAAGCAGCTTTGCGGATCGGTGGCCCGATCGCAGGCGTGCTTCGACCGCATCGACGTCAGCCTCGCCTCAGCTTTGCTCATCCCGAGACAGACCACGTCACGATTGCGCCGGATGTGACGTGCTCTCCGCTGGCTGCTCTCCGAGCGCTTGCCAGAGTGGGCCATTTATAACGAAAAATACAGTCATCAGGCTCAATATACAAACGTTCGATTGTCATTTACGGATATTATGGATAGCATTCAGCCTATTTCTGAAAACGACGGGTATATTTCAAATTTCGTTGAAGTATCCCTTTAAAGCAAAGGATGTTTACTTTCTGAATTATGTTAACGCATTAGTTCTCTATTCAATAAACAAAGTCCACAACTCTAAGCATATTTCTACAGTGTCTCAGCCTCCTTGCATTTGTGCAGCGGAGCTAAAATTCAATGAGTCCTGTGAGCAAGTCAACATTATTAGAGAGACTTAGTAGACACCTTGGGCTTAATGACGCGAAAAAAGTAGCCTGCCACCCAAAAGCGCTTTACACGTGTGTAAGCGTGTTCCATGAACAAATGCTGTATTACATAAAAATGTATGCCAATAACCCATTGCTTTTATTTTTTATTCATATCAGACTTTAGTGCGCAAACGTCGCCACAACAGGACTTCAGCACCCCACCCATCGCGGTAGATTCTGAGCACTTTGCATGCCGTGAGTGCGCTTGAATCCGAAGGCCTACCCTGTATACAAGCACCAACGTGTACCCTTCCACAGCTCAGTGCGCGATCTCAAGAGCTGAGCACTGAGTACTGGACCAAAAAAGTACGCAAAAAAAAAAAAAGGACATCGGCCAAAACCCCTTTACCGTCGCTTCGAAGTGTCATGTTCAATTGTCACGTTCAGTTTAGCACGTGCAGAGCTTCACTGCATTCGCTGAACTGTTCACTCCCCGCGTAGCAGAGACCCTGCGTAGGCCTCGACGATCGTGGCGTCATCTGATGGCGCGCATGAGAAACGGGACGGAAGTTGCACACCTCCGGAGACAGCGGTACTCCACCTTAGCCTTCTTACACCGTGCTTCTAACAACATTAGGAAGTTTTCGTAGATTGTTTTCGCCGTCCCGCAACGCTCTCCACAACCCGCTACGAAACCGGAACTCTACAGTCAAGGCCATCGGCGCGCAGGCGCGGTAGCGGCTTCTTCGTTGTGGAGGGCTTAGCGGAGGGGGAAATGCGGTCTACGAAAACTCTTTGAATGTGAAAAAGGTATCGTCAGAATATCACAATCTATCACATAGCAGAGGGGGTATTAACAGGACGCCAAGTCCTGGTTGGTTGGACAGATAAAGAAATACAGCTAAACCCTTTGAATCGGGTAGAGTTCCTGTATATGCTACCGTAGGTAGCATATACAGGAACTCTAGAATCGGGCAGCTGCTTGCGCCACCTAGCGAGTGTTTTAACTCACTTCCTTAGAAAGTGGCCATCTAACTCTTGAAGGAGGCCGCCTCGCTTGATGGTGTCCAGCGCGTCACGAGTACGATGGTGATGACGTTGTCGAGAGAGGCCGACACTACGCTAGATGAATATAGCTAAACCCTTTGAATCGGGCGGTTACTGGCGCCACCTAGCCAGCTCTTTTGAACTCAACCCCCAAGGAAGTGGCGGCCTCACTTGATGGTGGCCGGCGTCATGAGCAGGATGGTGGTGACGTTGTCCAGGAAGGCGGACACGACGGCCGTGAAGACGCACAGCGTGGTGACCAGGGGCCAGACGCGGCCCCGGGCCAGGCGGAAGGCTATGACAGCCGCGTAGTCGAAGAAGCCCGTCTCGCACAGGATGGCCACAAGGATCATCATGCCGAACAGCAGGCTCAGGGTCTCCACGTCCAGCCAGGACATCACCTGTGACGGAGACGCCGCGTTCTCAAGGCTGGTTCACACATTTGTGTTAAGGCATTGTTGACAACGTCAACAATGCGAACCTCACAACTTTAGCATTACGTCTTGGAAAGGGGGAGGCGCTGAAAGAAAACATCCGCGTTTATCCATAAAATTACGCGATGACAAAAAAAAAAAAAATCCTATTTGTTTAGCAGCGTTGCGTGCGAGCCTACTTGGCTTCCACTAGTGCATACAAACGACCATTTCTCCCAGGTAGTACTTACATTTGATTTCGCAAATGCCGCAAAACATTCGCTCGATTGAAATGCAGTTCCAGGGTCACCTCATAGATGGCGCCATCTATTAGGTAGCAGTGGAAACTTGGCGGTCACGCATATTTTCTATTTCTCTCCGGCATCATCTTTTCTCTATTGGCTCGAAAAGCTTTTGTCAACGTTATAAACGGGCCTTTCTCATAGGTAGTAAGCACATTTTACCTCGGGAATCCCGGAAAACCTTCGCTCTAGGGCATTTTCAGATGAGATCGAACAACAATGTCCGGTGAGCATTTTTAATTTTGATGAAAAAAAATATTTTGCTGGCTCCATGCCCCCCCCCCCCCCCTCCCCCCACAAAAAAAAAAAAAAAAAAGAGAGAAAAAACAACAACAACAACAACCAATCCTTGTCTTGAAAAAAAAAATGTCTCTGCGAAAATAATTTGTAAGTACCCTTTCAGTCACGTGCGCGTTTTGCGTCTCGCGCGATGTTGGCATTTCGGCCGGCTTTCCGCAAAAAACTATACTGGCTACGGAACTAGAAATATTTATTGACAAATCAGGCATAGGAAGGATCGATAAAAAAAGTGTTAATCACCGCGTATTAGGGTCGTAAGTTTGAGAAACAAACTCGCAAACACGGCACATTGCACAATAATGCTCTGGATTCAAGTTTTTTTTTTCTCCTTCATATCTATAAAAGCTAAGATCTTCAAACTTTGCCAGTGTGTTGCCCTGTATATAGTTCATCTTTGCATGAAATATTGTTGTCCTGGTCAGCGGGAGAAATTCACAAGAATTTCTCCACACAGAAGCATTTAACTAAAAATGTATTATTTTGAAAATCATTTAAAAAAAAAAAAGCCACCTTTAATATTCTTTATGCTCGCCGAAATTAACGTTTATAATATGTACTCACAGAGTCTGCAAAAACATAATGCAATATTTGTGTGGCTTTGAAGTTATAAAGCGAGAAACATGGCCAAATTGACGCTAACGCGGTTGCCATCAATGAGGCGAGCACATACCCGTTCTTCACAATTTCGTTATTATTAAAAAGCGTACAAATGCTATGGGGTGGTCAGGAAAAGAGAAATTGACAGCCAGTGGTGGACGGTAGTTTTTAAGGGAAAATTCCTAATACATTTTCGTACAACCGACTCAAAAATGCCCATGGGGCGGAGTGATCCAAAGGCGCCACCCTGTAACATATGCTTCGCGGTGCCTGTTTCAAGTTTCAACAGCCGCCGTGTAGCGTCTCTGTCTACGCGACGTAAAGGAAGCAACCGGAGCGACTTTGCAAACAGATCAGTCAACAACATTGGCCGTAACGTGATATAGGAGGCAGGGCGCGGCAGAATCTGAACCTGCGCCGCCTGTGGGTACCAATAGATCGGCCGCCGTAGAAAGCCACATAACGCAAAAAAAAAAAAAAAAGAAAAAGAAAAAGAATTTTGATTGACTGAGATTGTTTCTATTGGACGTTTTCAGATAGTTTTGGACGACCATGTCCGGTCGGCATTTTTTTTGTATTTTTTTTTGTTTTTTTGTTACGTGTGCAACCGCAAAAACGTATTCGAACTGTTTTTGCGAAAAAATAAAATTTCTCTGAGGAACAGAAATCACAAAGTCGCTGTCGGTATACGCGCACGTTTTTGCGACTTGCGTGAAACCGTCCCTTTGGGTATTTATGAAATAAAAACTGTTGTCGCCTTAGGTTTAATTTTGTTTTTTTTTTTGTGCAGAAACTGTAAATAAAATAAAAGGACGTAAACATATGTTATCATCATCATTTATTTTCCTTGAGGGCCCGTGGGGCATGTATTATCCATTACGAAGCAATTCAGAGCTTTATGGATCCGGATCTTAAAAGACTGGAAATTCAAAAATTTTAACATGACTTGGACGCGTTTGTTTAATATATGCATAAATTGTCATTAAAAATAAAAACGGTAACCTTTCTAAAAAAAAAAAAAAAAACACTGAAATGTAGACAGGTTACTGATTTTGCAATAGTTGGAATATCAGTTTAAAATGAAGGGCATCTTAATTTTTCTTCTACTTTTCACAGATCAAGGCTCATAATCTGTTTTATCAGGCCCTTCAAAAATTATCTGCAATATATATATATATATATATATATATATATATATATATATATATATATATATATATATATAGTGCTAAATATACAGAATTGCCGTGATGGGAGTAGAGAAAGATAGGACGTAGCGGATATCACACGAGGGCAAGAAAAGGATCAAAAAATGTAGGAAGTCTATGAAGAGAAAGCACCGTGACCGGAGTTAATGAAAAATAAGAATTCATACAAAAGATTACAGTTAGTTCGAAACACAAGTCAACAATTTAAGTACAGATCTCTCGGATCAGTGAATTTCGGAGCCTACCCTTCGTGGAGAGGCCGGGCTGCTCACGACCAGGTTTAAATAGTGATAAGAAATAACGCATGTTTAAAGTGGTACAATTGAAACAAGTTTAATTAATCAAGATCCTGCGCGCACAATCAGAGCTTGTCGCGTGCATTCTTTCTGCCGGACGCTGACCCGAGCCGGTCACGGCGCTCTCCTAGCACTCCGAGGAAGAACTTTTTTTTTTTTTTTTTTCCCCCGTTTTGCCTGTAGCAATTACTGTTCGTTTCTTCTCAGTGGCACCGCAAGCTCGCGACATCGATCTTCTTTTCGCAGCCATAGGAGACTTTACTTTCAAAGGTATATCTTTTCTGCGTCTACTGCTCTTGCTAAAACAGCTGTGGTTGCGAGGTGTCGGACCGCGTACACTAGCCACAAGTGACACGACCGAATACCACGCACGACGTAAACAGTGTCCCACTTCTTTGCTTTCATGTCCCTGAACGTTATGGCGTCAGCTTTCGGGAGGTGGATTAGTTTCACGTTCGGCAGTTTAGTGTTCAGTGGATGAACCATCTCTGACGCCGGCTTCATCACCGACGTGGTGGGCCATCGGAGGTTGTACAACGTTGCCTGGTGCTTGACACGACCCCCGATTGTAGCGCAGGCACTCTTGCCATGCTGCAGTTGCGGCAAAAATACACTTCGATGACGTGTACTTGTGACGTGTACTTGTTACTCTGCAGCTGAGTGCCCACTTGGAGGGACAAACGGGTTTCGTCCAGCGAACCCGGCGCTTGCTTCACCGGCAGACTGTGCGTAGGTGTGTTGGTGAAGGGGTGACGGAGGGGTAGGGGTTTTCGCAGGTCCAATAAAGAGGTTTTCCACCACCACCATAATAAGTGGCGCACGTTCTTTCCACGAGCCAGCAGCCCCGCTGGTGTGCGCGAGCACACGCAACGTAAATGACGTCAAAGACCTCGATTCGCGCTTAAGATGACAGTGAAATGCATCGGCTTCGGGCCAAAGGAGAATTAAGACAGGCTTTTCATCTCTACGAGTGAAAGCTACGTGCTCGTTAGACCAATTCATCGCTTACCTTTTACACCAGACCGCTCCGGTTGCTTCCTTTACGTCGCGTAGACGGAGACGCAACACGGCGGCTGTCAAAACTTGAAACAGGCACCGCTAAGCATGTTACAGGCTCGATCGCTCCGGCCCATGGGCATTTTGAATTTTGAGTCGGTTATATGAAAATGTATTTAGAATTTTCCCTTCAAAACTACCATTCACCTCTGTGCTGTCAATTTGTCTTTTCCTGACCACCCCGCAGAATTTTTACGCTTTTTAACAATAATGAAATTGCGAAGAACGGCTATTGGCACGCCCCATTTATGGCAACCGCGTTAGCGTCCATTTGGCCATATTTCTCGCTTTATAACTCCAAAGCCACAGAAATATTGCATTGTGTGTTTGTAGACTCTGTGAGTCTACAAACACGCAATGCAATGCACAATGTGAGTCTGTGAGTCTACGTATTATAAAGGTTAATTTCGAAGAGCTTAAAAAATATTAAAGATGGCCTTTTTTTTTTAGGATTTTCAAAATAATGCAAGTTTAGTTAAAAGTCCCTGCGTGAAAAATTCTTGTAAATTTCTCCCCCTAACCAGGACAACAATATTTCATGCAAAGATAAACTATATAGAGGGCAACACACTGGCAAAGTTTGAAGGCCTTAGCTTTTATTCAAACGGAGGAAAAAAATCTTTAATCCAGAGCGTCATTACGCAATGTGCCGTGTTTGCGATTTTGTTTCTCAAAATGAGGACCCTAATAGGCGGTGATTAACATTTTTTGTCAATCCTTCCTATGCCTAATTTCTCAGTAAACATTTCTAGACCCGTAGCCAGTACAGGTGAAATATTTGTTTAGTGCAATGAAGCTCGGGGGGTAGTTTTGAGAAAGTCAATGCAGTTGTTCTGCCAGAGATGAACAAATCTTCATTATTAGCGCAAGATCCGTCAACCGCGCTTGAGGTCAATGCTATCTAAAACCACTTTAAACTCTTAGCAACGCCTGAAAGATATTGCCCAGGGCACAGTTTTCTTTAGAAGAACACAGAGCTTCCCAGGAAGACAAACTTACGCCAGTAACAACTAAAAGATAAAAAAATAAGAGAAACAAAAACCCTTCAGTTGCAGGCATTGGTGTGGACATGTCTACCGCTAAACAGTACGACTTCACGCGTATTCGGTAAAGTGTCCTCAGAGATGAAAGGCATGGCGGCCTAGTCCTTTGTCCACGTTGGGTGATGGCAAGTCAGAAAACAACAAAGTTTCCGAATCGCACTTAGTGGCAGAGCGTCTATGCCCTGGAAATGCTGAGAAACCGAAACTCACGATGCTTGACGGTACCAAGATGGCCGCGTGCACAGTGCTGCCAGACTACCAAACAGTTTCGCATATAGTCCACTGCGAACGCTCCGCATGGTTTGAGATGAACCCTCTCTTCAATCTAGGCTCTCAGTAGACCAACTCAACTCACTGACGTCACGCCACTGCGGGGGCGCTGCTGTCGGCACTGCGCATGCGCAGACGCTTCACTCCTGCCGATTTTGATTTGTGCGCACGCGCAGTGCCCCACACCTGGTGCGGGCAACGCGGGCTTGTTTCTAAACACTGCGTTGGTGTATATGCTTCGTTTCATCTCAAGTCACGACGCCGCTGACGCTACGAGCCGATGGGACCAATCACACAGCGTCAAAGGTGCAACGTCATGGCGCTCGTCTAGTGTCGTACGTGTTCTATCTTGGCTAAACCAATCCTGTAGAGAAACTACTCAGTGACTTGCGCTTTTCACGCTCTTTGTTCGGTACCATCAACATTGTAGCGTCAGCCGTGTCTGGACTCGAAGTGAAAGCCTGTGTTGGACAAAATACTCGATGAAAGTATTTAAATTACTAAATACCTGCTTCATAAAGTATTTAAAATACTGCTCAAGTTACTTTCATTGTACAGTATCTTGAGTAGAGTACAAATACTTAGAAATGTAATTCAATTACTTTTGAAGATACTTCCGCATTGCGTAATTTGTATCGACGTCAATGACAACGACAATTATACAGCTGCGCAAATCTGGGTTACCAGAACGGTTTATTAGCACGCAACAACACAAAACAAAAAACAAACAAACCAAAAACAACATCGTAGGGCTATTTTATGCAGTCCAACCATAAGGAGCAGAATATCACTGATACATGTTACAAAACATTTATGGGACAAAAAGAAAACAGGTCGCTTCAGCTATTCGCAACTTTCACGACCTCTAAGGGGCGCGCAGGTGCCTATCAAAATGGCTGTCATCTGGATGATCGTCGTAGAACAGCAGTAAAAGGCGGGGTCTGCGAAGCGTAGTTAATTCTAGTTTTGCTTTAAGGCCCGTTCACACTCTTGCGACCTCTTAAACCTGGGTTCCTTAAAACTTCTTAAACCAGAGAACACACTGGCGCCATCTATTGGGAAACAGTGTAAACTCGGCGGTCCGGCGCATATTTTTTTTTATTTCTCGTGCGTTATCCTTTCTTTCTTGACTCGGGAAACTTTTGTCAATGTTATAAACGAGTCTTTCTATGGGTATTACGAACGTTTGACCTCGGAAATCACGCAAAACCTTCGCTCTTGTGAAATGTAGTTCCAGGGTCACCGCATAGATGGCGCCACAATGCCAGTGTGTTCCCTCATTCTAAAAACATTTAAGAAGTTGTAAGAGATCTCGTCTCTCTCAGTCGTACTCGGTTGCAAGAGTGTGAACGGGCCTTTATACGAGCAGCCCTACTTTATTTTTGCCCGCCAGGAAGGCAAGCACCTTTCTTTTGAAGCCGATCATCCAGGATCTAGGGAGCACGATTCTCACTACCGCGGTACCACCATCGCTGAAATTTGCGAATAGTAACATCGCTGAGTATCACGTCCTGCGGAGCACCTTAGACGCATCGTTTAACTACAGTCCACATTCCCTATATGGGGAGTTCACTATAAACGAACTTGGGATACGGAAATGAGTGAATAGATAACGAAGAGAGCCCACATAATAGCCACGGCACTCGGCGCACTTTCTTCAAGTGGGTTGCGTTCAGAAAGGCACTCAACGTTGGGGGACGGTTCGTTGGCATTTTGAGAGGTCATCCAGCTCGTAGTTCGTTTCCTGTCCCGTTCTCTGCTTATCAATGTTCGATTACAGACAGTGTTCCCGAGAGCAATAAGTGACGAAGTTACGACAGAAAGGGAAGAAATGAAAGAAACCTCGACGTTTTGCCGTAGCGGAATCAAATATACAAAAAAAAAAAGTTACTAGTTTTTGTGTTTATTTATTTATTTTTACACTGAAGTTCGCATTGTTGTCGTGGGTCTTTTCCCGGTCTGCGTTGCGCCTCAGTGAGGGGCAATCTTTACTTCCGTAAACCCCTCCACCCCCCCCCCCCGCCCCCTTTTGTTTTTTTAAAACTTTTTGGGGAGAAATTCTACGAAAAAAAGGTGCCTTTGGGAAGACGAAGGGAAAAACCTTCACTGTCATGAGTCACAATGGGCACAAAGGCGATGTTTTCACGAGCTCAGTGTAAGTCCATCGGAACTTATCTGCGCTAGCAACAGGATTTGGCTGCTCGAAAGAATGTTCAAGTTTGCTCGTGCTACGTCCACGCCACTTTATGCCGAAAAACTCGGAAAATGGCGGAATGTCAAAAATGTATTTAAGATAATGAGTACAAGGTACTCAGAAATGTAATAAAATACGGTATCAAATACTCTCGATCAGACGTATCTGCAAGACCCCAAGATACTTCAAAAAGTATTTGAAATACAGTGTCTTGAGTAGAGTATTTGAGATAGGCACAAGTCTGAATGAAATCAAGTGTAGTCAAACGGCGGACGCACCTTGGCCAGGCTGGGCCGGTCTCCGATGAGGGCTAGACAGGCGATGGCCGCTGTGGCTGCCAGCATGGCCGCCAGGGTGCGGTGCACAAGCTCGAAGACGATGAGGACGTAGAGGCCGATCAGGACGGCGCCGCCCATGAGCAGTCCCTGCTGGTTGAGCTCAGTGAAGGCCGTCACGGCCAAGCTGAGGGCCACCTGGGGGTCCTGGTGCGTGGCCTGGTACGGGTCGCTGGTCTCCAGATGGATCTCCAGGGCGTAGCCGCCGCTGAGATAGAAAGAGGCACGTCGCTAAGCATAATAAGGAACTCTTTTTTTGTTATCGTTAAACATGCACATTTACTAAAATATAAAGTAACCATTTTTTTTTATGCGTCAGCATTTATTATCTCGGTGCATGCACTCGTTTTTTGGTTTGGACGGTCGTGGTTTGGTTTGGACTGGTTTGGACTGGACTGGATTGGACTGGTTTCCGCCATGCTCTTTCGTTCCGTTTGTTCTCTCGTTACGTCATCTTTCCCTCTTACAAGAGGTAAAGAGTCTTCTGGCACGCTTCCATTGACTCGCCACGGAAGCGGGAGAGGGAGGTATGTGAGTTGGCTGCATCCGAAACTGCCGACGCCCGGGAGTACAGACAGTGTCTCTCCGAACACAACAGTAAGCGGACCGTTCGGAACCCCTGCGCTCTAACCTACTTCGTCGAGGATCAGCGTAGCGACATCAGCGATTTCGGCATCATTTTTGTTTGTTGCTTTTTCATCGCATTCTGCAGGAATACCAACGTCGTAACGTCACGAGACGTAACGTCACGAACGGAGCGTACTCTGCGCGACACTGTGAACCTAGACACAACATTTGCGTTTTTTCGCATCTTATTTTAGAAGGGTATGGGCGGGCATTCATCTTCACTCCTCAGGTTAGAGCCCCAAATGGGCCCTTGACGACCACACGGTAGGTATAATGAGAAACTTTCAATCCTCAGGGAAAATGGGGGGAAAAAATGCTAGGCTGTTTCGCTAACAGTGTCGCGTTGTGTGCATCCGAGACCACTTGACAAGGTGAAGTCACGTGATCCCATGGCGGGTAGCGTGACCACGTGACCTCTGTGAATGGATTCACCGTTCGCAGCGGTTTGGTGGCAGCCTAAGCTTTTTGTTCCTTCTTAGTTTCGGTGTAACGGGCTCAAGACAGCCTAAATTTACCGCTCAATAGCACGAAGCGCAATTGTCTTGTCTGAAATTTAACATGTCATGGCTTCTTTTAATGACGGGCTACAAATCTCTGACCACGGGAACGTGCCAGCTTAAAGGGACACTCCAACGAAATTTGAAATATACCCGTCGTGTTTAGAAATAGGCTGAATAGGATCCACAATATCCGTAAATGGCAAACGCACGTTTGTATCTTGAACCTGATGGCTGTATTTTTTGTTATAAACGGCCCACTCTGGCAAACGCTCGGAGACCAGTCAGCACAGAGCACGTGACGTCTGACGCAATCGTGACGTAGTTCGTCTCGGAACGAGCAAAGCTGCGGCGAGGCTGACGTCGACAGGGTGCCCTAACCGTTCCAGCCACCGCAACTCACCGCAAAGCTGCTTTTGTACGAATTTTGAGTAACGGGCTAATCTTCTGTAATCTTGTAGAAAGAGAATAGCGACGTCTGGGAGAAGTCTGGGACAAACAAAGAAATATTCCCGGTTACAAGGGAGTTCCTCCTTCCCCTCTTCTCTGGAGGTGGCCGGAAAGTTTGACGGAATGACAAGGCGAGACAGGCATCGTCACTACCTGTCAATGTTCCTAGGCGGACATTACAAACGAGGCTTTAGCGACGTCCACCAGGATCGCTAATCGTTTAATTCGTTTTAAAATTCATTTTCGTGTTGTTTTTCTTTGTTCAACAAGAGATTGGTGTGTCCGGCGATGTGATACTGCTCCCTTAAACACGTATAGACCAAGACAGGATTTAAGAGTCGACATTTCGTTGGCGTATCCCTCTTAAACAAATAATTAAGACGTTAATTGGGTAGCTATAGTAGTTGTAAATTTAACTAGCTAGAAAGTTAAAACTAATTAGCTAGTTATGAGGACGGTAATTATTTAGCGAATTAGAAAGTTCATTATCCAGCTAGTTAGAAGTCAACTATCAAGAAAGAGACGTAGTTCCAATATTTCAAACACAAATTATCCTGGAGCCTGAACAAAGCAGTCTGACTCTGCACACGCCCTCTTTCAGGGGGCAACGAACGTGCCTCGATTGACGTCAACGCCCGTCAGTTTATCACTCATCCTGCCCGCCGATCCACGCACGCAGTCAGCTGACGGACAAGCGCGTCCACTAATCGGAAACGAAACAAAGGGACACTCGAGTTTGGACAAACCCGTGCACGGTCGAAGCCGGGGCTCCCGGGGCCGCAACGCGCGTACATATTTTTAGCTCTCTGCCATGGATGCGCGCTGCCGGCCAACTTTCTATTATTGCCGGTTTCGCCGGTCCGTCAGCCTAACTTCGTCGATGAACATTCACATTCGGCCCATCGATCCCCACCTGCTCCTTCATACAATCGTTCGAGTGTCTCTTCACAGCGGCGATCTTTTCCGATGTTCAGATGACGGGAAGATCTTCCTTTCTGAGGTGTTAAAGCTACCTTCCGGGTGCGATAAGAAACTCGTCCAAACATTTCCGTAAGAAAAGAATAATACCTTAGCTTTCTGGGCGACACCGGAAGGCGTCCGTCCCACGGCCCCAACCATAATAGTACCGGTGGCAGCTGCGCTAACGCTCCTGTTTGCGGCGCAAATGTGGCGTCTGTGCGCGTGCCACGTATTTCGTTCTTTTTGCACATACATTGTCAATTCATTATCAGTGTCTTAGTGCAGAATTTGACATGCATTTTTCAAAACTTAACGCGCAGTAAGAAAACAAAAAGTGCAAGTTTTTATATTTTTAAAGACATATGCCTTTACGCCTTCCAAGTTTCTAGACTTGTAATACATCCAAGTCGCGTTTTTCTTTTTTTTTTATGAATAGATGAAGGACTGCTATGGTTTTGTACTTACATTTCTTTCTTAGTGCACTCACATTTGTTTTTTCATATTCATCGAAAAGTATTTTTTATACGCAGCAACCACATTTAAGGGCATGCTCCCGGTAAACATAAAAGCTTAGCATAAAAAAATATAGTAGAAGTGCAACGCCAGCAGTTTTTTTGTAAATATCACTTGAATATGCCAAAATTTATTAGAATTCCCTTCACGCGTTCTTGGTTTTGTCATATAGCATTCTAGCATCTGATTTAATTAATTTTTTTAACTGTATGCTAGAGAATTAGGCTGGTTCTTTGTAGGGCTCTTTTGGTTCTATTCATGTTCAGATTTGTTTAAAATAATTCTACATCATGGGACTATTTTGAAGCTCGAGTCTGTACGCAAAAAAACGGCTTTAGAGAAGAGGACAGCTATTTCAATGATTCTCTAATTAGAACTTTTCTCGTTCTAATAAAAATCAATTTCCATGATTGTATTTTTTTAAAGCGTACGAATTGTCATAAACATTAAGAAGGACTTATGTTGTAGCAGGCAACGCGCACTTGAGCCATCTTTTGAAAGGTAACTGAAATTTCCGGTTGAGAAGTTCAGGAAAAGTGGCGACGATTCTGTCCCTGACGCAGAGGATTCTTGTCTCAGATATTTCCTCGCGGTTCTTCGTTCTTGCAGTGAATCACAGTTAGTCTGGCGAAAACGAAAAGCGAGAAGCGCGTCACAAAGGTCACGAGCAAGTTCTCGAAAACATCTGGTGCCTGTAAATACGAGCTCAACGAGCTTGAATCATGCTCAAGTTCGTTGATTCACTGCTTCCCGCCATGTTCGGACACCATGAAAGGTGCAATATTGAACTACATATGATAGCGACGACGAAGGGTAATTTATTTCCCTCCACTCCAAGATAAACAAAAGTACACATTTTAAGTTTCCAGCTTTCCGAACCACGCCGGTTGTTTTGTCTGCCCTCGTGCAGGGTACCGAGATCTTCAGTGTCAACATTACTCGTAGACAACTTAAGAAGAGTGTTATACCCAAAAACGCAGTGAATGGACCTCACGGTAATGCAACAAAGAGCCGGTCATCGTGGCTCAAATCTAAAGCTCGAGAAAAAAGGTCTAATAAACCCCTTTCCCGTGAAGTGCGCTATCAAATGGGCCAAACCTCCTTAGGGCGTTCTTTCTTTGAATCAATTCCTATTTTATTCATTGAAATAAGATAATGTCCCACGATCAACTCTCATGGTGTTGGTTTAATAATGCAACGACTCCAAGGTTCCACTTCGCGCTTTACCACAACCATGACCCTTGTCCTTTGCAACTAATGATAAGCAGCCAGGGCCAAGTTACTAGAAACAGCGTCTCAGCTGAGACGGGGGAAAGAAAGCAGTGCCAAAGCCAGCGCACGAGCCCAGCGGGACTCCAGACGCAAATTGTGTTCTGGCTAGTTGGGCTCTCATGTGTCATGTACAAATAAAACCTTGGCAAGCAGAAATACCCTGTCAGTGTCCCTTTAAGAAAGCCCTTTAAGAAACCATGTTGAAATAACCTGAGACTGGGGTAGAGAACAAGCATCAAATCGTAGAAGGGACAAACAATAGACCTACCCCAGTCTCAGCCCAGTCTCAGGTTATTTCAACATGGTTAATATTCACCAGCTCGCCTGCACCCTTACGATTTTTTTTTTTAAGAAAGTCTGCTGTTATCTGAATATCCGTTCTACCTCGATTCTTTTAACGTTTTTAATGACCTTTAAAAAAACATTTAGCGATTGCTCCTGTATTGTGGTTGCAGCCGAAGGCTAAACAAAATGACGTCGTGTTGCAAGAAACCCTTTTCGAATAACGAACGCCACCTGGGGAGTTTTCTACAAACTCCAAATACAGGAAAGTCCCCCAACACGCCTCCGCAAATCAGAACACATTGGAGTCGTGCCATTGTATCGGTTTTCATTTCTTTCTGTGCCGCATTACTACCTGCGCTCAAAAAAAAAAAAAAAAAAGAATCGTCAAAAAACACGAAATACGCGCAAAGATAGGTGCCGAATATGTTGGTCGTGCGGGACTTTGCCCACCGAAATAGGCGACAGCGGGGAGCAAGGCTAGGGTTGAAGGTGTTAGTATTGCAAAACTATCGATAAATATCGATACTATCGATAATTTTTCCAAAACTATCAATAGTGTCGCAGATAATAGTGTCGCAGAACTATTGATAGTACTATCGATAGTTTTTCGATAGTCGACGATCGATGGTACTATCGATAGGTTTTTTGCTATCGATTGTCCGATTCCGGGCGACAATCGATATTACTATCGATAGTCGACTATCGATGGTACTATGGATAGTTTTTTTACTATCGATAGTCAGATTCCGGGCGACTATCGATATTATCGATAGTACTATCGATAGTTTTGCACTACTAGAGCGAGCACGGTTGCCGCACCGCCGCTCGCCTCCCTTCCTCCTCTCTTCGCCCAAACTCCCATCTTCGTCATCACTGAAAGCTGAACCAAAGTTGGGATGGTAAGTGCTTGGGCTAGTTGCTGTCCCATTTGAAAAAAAAATAAAGCGAGAAAAAGAGAAAAGGGAGCGACGCAAACTACTAGTGTCGCAAAACTATCGATAGTAAACTGTCGACAGTACTATCGATAGGTTTACGATAGTCGACTATCCATAGATTTTCGATAGTCGACTATCGATAGTACTATCGATAGTTTTGCAACACTAGAAGGTGCGCGCAGGAGCAGTTGCTTAACTGCGCATGCGTACAGAAAAACGGTCCATTGAAACGCTGGACTGCCCCCGGCTCCACACTGTATTACTGACTGCTTGTCCACGTGCTTGGCCACTTAAGCAGAGACATGGCGGCGGTGCACGCGCATGCCGGAATCGAGCTCTTGTCAGAGCCCCTCAATAATGCTTAGGGGACCGACAACTCAGCCATCTTCATACTTCATTTTTACCAGTTACACGAAGCTTTATTTGAAATCCCAGGAAACATCTCTGTCCTCTAGAAATGTTAAAATATAGTCCGCGTCAGATCGAAACACCATTGCCTAAACTTTCCAGCACCAAGCTTCTCTTTTCTTTTTTTTTCTATTGAAAGGAAGTTTAGTTTTGCGCATGTGGAGCACCTTCTCACGCAGCGGCGGAAGTTCGAACTGCGGGTTAGGCGTATAGAAGGAGAGGTATCCCAACTTCCTTTCCAGACACTAAACGCACTTCGAGCTTCCTCCGCTTGGTGTCGTCCTTTACGTAAAAGAGATCCATCGCGCTAGCTCTGGGGCTCTAAGCACCAAAATGGCAGCGCCCACGAGGAAATCAGGAAAATGTGTGCCGGACTAAAGCCCTGGGTAGAGTCCCCACTATAAGCAGAGACCCTAATGATCGAGGGCTTTAGACGGGCCTAGCCGGGGCCCGGGCTCGAGGTCTTCATGTCGACTTGTCGAGGCACGTGGCAATGGGCCACGGACCCGATAGGGCCATATCCTAGGCCATATCCGCTTGAAATCCTGACCGAATTATCTGCCACCGGGACAACACGCATCTCTCACATATTGAGCCAACTCGATAAGACAACACGAAAACAAATAATAGACCCAAGGGTACTGATTGCCCATCTTGGGCGCTTAATCGGAAACACGCTGACTCAGGAGGTGCGGGTGATCCTACTCTTATCGTTTGCCATGACATACACCTTTGAGGCCCATGGTCGTCGTAACAGGGGGTGTAGGGGGGAGAAGGGAATGTCTTCCAGACCTTCAAAAAGCTGCAAGTAAACTATACGGCCAGGGGGAAAAAAGTACCCCGCCCCTCTCCCACAAGCCATCACAACTGTCTCTAGTTTTGACAGTGCGAAAGGAATCTGGCGAACGTTTATTGCCAGCACGCGCTTACCCGAAAGCAGGGTCGCAGGGTGTGTCATTCGAACGCCTGGCCTCCAACATGCGCTCTACGCCTTCCGCCGTGCTTTGACTGCGCACTCGAGGTGCACGAGACACCGAAGCATCGTCGATGCTAAGAAGCTCGCGCTGGGAGAGTGGTAGCAGAAGCTCCTCCACCCTATACCATCGTCACCTTAGAGCCACCATAGTAACCTTACTCCGTTACACGACTGTTATCATCCTGTGGGTGACTGCATACCCAGTTAGGTAAAAGGCGCGCCACTCACTTGTGCGCTCTGAGCTGGTCCTTGGGCATGGTGAAGAGGTGCTCGAATGGCTGGGGCGGCGGCTGAAGCGGCAGCGGCGCCGTGGGCACCCTCACGGAGTCGCCGCTGTCCCCGACGATGCTGAACACCGTCCAGACGCCCGTCAGGTTGGCCAGCTCTTTGGCGATGAAGGGGCCCTTGGCGCGGACACGGATCACCGGATGCTCCGGCTCCAAGATCTGGTTCAGGTTGCGCACTGGGAGCCCTCCGGTCAAGGCGTCAAACTTATTATACTTCATCTCGCAAACGTCTGCAGTGTGGACGAAGGCACTGGCACGGGCGCGTGGCTTTGGGAAGTGCCTCTTATGCACACATCTCGTACACAAAAAAAAAACAAAAAAAAACATGCCCCTTAGTTCGGCCTTCGTTTTTACTGCATACATTTGTGAGACGGAGTAGATATAATGGTTTGCGCGTGGCGTCATGGCGAGACGCCGATGGCCAATCCTGCTTCTTCTTGCCGAGAAAAAACAAATTCGGTGGCGCGAAATAAGGCCACTACAACACTACAACGGGGGGGTATTCACTGGACGCCATATTTGAGAGGTCGCTGTTTAGAGCGCATGCTCAGAACGAGCTCGCATTATTAGCTTGATAAGACCGGCAATCTTGACGGTGTGGAATGCACGTTGCAAAAGGTCTGCGGAAGCTCACAGCACGCACTCAGCAGCGAACACTCCTCCGCGTTGGATCTACCAAGTGCGAGGGTTGCTATGGCGACAGCTGCGTCGGCTCTCGCAAATCTGGTTTTTACCCCGTCGCAAGCCGTTGCAGTTACACATGGTGGGACTCGACGCAGATGTGTGAATCGCCCTTTTGAGTGCGGTGCGGCGTCCTTGCGGCCAGAAGCGGTTGCATGCGGTACGACGCAAACCGTCACAGAACGCCTCGCAACGCACCGCAAGGGAGCAGAGACCGACTCAACTTTGGACGCGGCAGTAGCGGGAGCGCGTTGCGTCAGGAACTCTAGACCAATCAGAAGCCGAGAAAGAAGAGGAGGGTCACGTGTTCGCACGCGCCACTCAACGATGCGTATCCGGCTCTCCGTTCCCGGAACCAGTGCATCTTCGTTCTGGGGAGCGGTGGGGAATGCTCGAGCGAGAATTTGTCAAAGTCTGCGATGGTTCAAGCCGGAGAGAATGCTCAGGAAGCCAGCAACATTGACCCAAGATCAACCACTTCGACGTTGTCACCGGGCTCCACAAAGCTTCTGCAACGTGCATTCCACACCATCATGATCGCCGTTATTTGGAGACGTTAGGTAGAAGACTGGCACGCGGGGACCTCTGCCAGGCCAACCATACCCCCCCCCCCCCCCATTTCCTCCCGTATCATTGTATCATGGGCTAATATCAGAGCCACATATGTAAAGACCAGTTACACCTTGAGAAATTGGGTTGTAAATGAGACGGAACAGGGATACGGTTGAACAATATCTCCACAGAGTGTAATAAAATGATCAGCCCACAAATTTTTGTGAGCAATTTCTCTTCTAACCCTTTAGTGCAAGGTAGCGCTGCATCCCGCATAGATCTATGCGGGATGTAGCGCTACCTGCAGAGAGCTACCTGCAGCGCTACCTGCAGAGCGCAGCACAAGCTCGAGCTTGTGCTGCGCACTGCAGGTGTGAATCACGGGACCGCTCTAGCCCGCGCGATCGTCGAGCATTCCTTTCTTTACGAGTTAAAAAAAAAAAAGTTATGATAGATTCAGGCATTAAGCGTCCATTGTCCTTCAAGCCCACTTGTTTTGTCGAGCTATAAAAAAAAAAAAAAAGAAAAAAAAAAAGAACTTAGTTTGTAATTTTTTTCTATTGTTTATTTTTGAGCGCTCTCGCTTCTCTCAGCTCACGTGTTTACGATCGCGCGACTTGTAGCAGCTGCTGGACCATGACCCGCGTGCCCAACATGGCGGCAAAATGCCAGAACCTTACGAGATATAGTGCAAGCTTTCAAGAGCGTCACACAGCTCCGCTAACGCGCACCTACAGACAAAAAACAACACCATGACCCCAATTGCTGAGGGCCCTCAGATACGCACCGCAGCACTGAACAAAGACAGAAAGACAATAAGAAATATCCGAAGAAACGAAAACAGCGATTGGCGCGCGGGCTCATTCCGAGCCGCCGAGTACACGGGTGAATACATGGTCGTAATGACGTCACGTTCGAGACAGTTTTCGACGTTTTCCTGTCTTCAAATAATAAAAGATTTTTTTTTCTCTCAAAAGTTAATTAAGCAACACTGATGGCCGCCATATTTCGGGCATAGCTTCCTGCTCGAAGCGTGTGATTGGATCCGAGTTCACGCCGAGTGCTGACGTAGCGCTCGTTGTCGAACACATTTGGTCCCGAGCACGCTCCGAACGCTGACGCATCCCTCGGGTCCAATGCACGCTCAAAGTGCGTGCCGAGGCCGCCATATTGTGTGCATAATATGGCGGTTTCGGATAATCGACGCAGCATCTACTGGAGGGCGCGCACTTTTGAGACAAAGTCAGAGTTTATCCTGCAATTGCGGAAAGTCTCGGGAACGTCATCCATTACGCGCTGCGAAATAGACCACTTCCGAAAATCCCAGCATGCAACACTGCGCGCGTTGAATTATGGTACCTCTTTAGCCATGGAAAAAAGGGAGCCTTGTCTCGGTTTCGACCGCCCCGTCCACGAAGCGATACGCGCAAGCCAAAGGATACGGTAGGACTCGTTCCCGTTGAGCGAGATGTTTATCCACGTTTCCGACACTTCGGGTACGAAGCTCATCACCACCTGCGCGGAAAAAACAACAACAACAACAAAAACACCGGGCGTCACTCATTCAGTCGCTTGTTCGACAGACTGGCGAACAATTTGTCTTAGTCCCATAAAACCGCAGTCCCACTGGAAACACATCATACAAAAAGCCTGCCCGGAGAAATGTTGGAAGCACACAAGTTTGTGAAGCAAACGTGCTTCCAACATGTTTGGGGCGTGACAGCAGACAAATCTCGGCTTCAGGGCGCTGCCATCTTGCTTCGCTGGGGTACGCTTGGACGAACCCGATTACGAAGCCTTGCTAGGGCGTCGTAATCGGATTATGGCCGCGCCCAAGAGCGCACCCCACCGAGGAACATGGCGGCGTCCTGAGACCAACTCAACTCACTGACGTCACGCTACTGCGGCGGCGCTGCTGTCGGTAGTGCGCATGCGCAGAAGCTTCGCTCCTCCCGATTTTAGTTTCTGCGCACGCGGCGCAGTTTTTCCCACTTGGTGCGGGAAAAGTTGGCTTGTTTGTAAACACTGCGGTGGTGTATATGTCTTGCAGCGAACATAATGTCTTTTGTATGATTGATGAGCAGTGTGACTCCGGTTTAAGAAGCCAACAAACAAACAAACAAACGCTGTTCGCAAACACGACAAGCCTAACAACAAGGTTATTAATAAGGTGTACCGTGTACTTTACATGTCTACTTACTATAGTTGGTTGCAAGCTAAGAAAAAACCGGAAATGCCTCTCAGAGGAAAATGTAATCCTACGCCGAGAAACGCCAGCCAATCGTTTTCATGACGTCACGATTCCGTGTACCAATCGCGATCCTTTTGAAAAAAAAAAAAAAAAAAAAAAAAGAAGCTCAACATGGCTGCTGGCCATGTTGAGCTGCTGCTGCTAGTTTCTCGTGACAATTATTCTGCTTTTTTGCACCGTGTTTTACGTGCCCGAGGTTACGCCACGAAATCTTAATGGTATCGGCTTGCGTTTGCAGCAGTTTTTGCGCGACAACGTGAGAATCCAGCGACGCTATCGCCAACGAAAATTTCGAAGCGGGCGCGAGGCTTAGCACTGCTGAGAGGTATGTTAGACGGTATGTTAGACGGTATGTTACACAGCATCTTGGACAGAAAATGAATTGGGAAGACGGTACATTGGACATGACTTTCTTTCTTTACTAAACAGCTATTTCGTTGACAAAAACGTATTCTAACTTATTTAAATGTCCTGAATGAATTAAATAAATATTGTAGTAGTTTAAGACACGTTTCCTGGAGGAAGAAAAAGCAACGTTGCTAGCGAACTACTTTCTCGACGGCGGAGGCACTTCACATGGGCGCAATGCGCTTGTGGGTGGAGCTAAAAGATTGTTCTTAGGTTGCATCCGACTATAGTGTTTGTTCGTCATTCACTTCTTTTTCTTTCATTTTTTTAATATGGCTTTTGTTACGGAGTTTTCCTATATGGCAATATATAAAATTTTAGTACGAAATTTCACCCGAGTGATTATTGAATGTTATGGATGACGGAAGGACGGGGGATATGCTAGATTAGCCGCTCTGCATTTTTGTCAATCAATCACGAAGCGGAATCTCGCGCGCTAAATTTTTTTGCTTTGCCATATATGGGCAACTCCGAGATATGGGACCTATAAAAATCACATACAGGGTACGTGTTCTGGCAAGACCTAAAGAAAGGTGGCAGTGACCTTCATCTTTAAATTTCCGTAGTGCATTAAATGCAGTATTAAAGGAGCGACTGCTCAGATTTGTTTAGAAGAAATTAAACAGCCATGGCGGGGAAGGGTCACGTGACGTCAATTTTCCCGCCAAATTTTGCGGGGAAACCATGTATAGGTCACGTGACGTTTGGTCACGCGCCATCAATTTTCCCGCAAAATTTAGCCGGGAAACTGAATTGGTGTGTAGATCACGTGAGATCAATTGCCCCACCAAACTTGGCGGGAAATTAAACTGCTGCTTGGGTCTCGGCTAAATTCAGCGGGAAACGCTCAGACGAACGGAGAGGCGGACGGGTAAAATTTTGGGATTGTAAAAAAGCATCTCATCCTTCAAAAAGCTGCACCACGCCACACGCGTCAAACCCAAGCAGTATTGTTCACAATCCTATTGAGCTAGTCAAGCTAGCTCATTAACGCAGATTAATTAGCAAAATATTTAAATTTAATTTTTATTTATTTCAAAATACTATCAGTCCCTCATGGGATTATGATAGGCATGGATATATACACTTTCTAGCAAAACACAGAAAGAAAACAACACAAACTGGAACAAGAAAAGCACGATAAAATGTGTTAACAGATTTTCAGATGGGTTGGCAAAACTCGGGGATGGGCAGTATTTCAAATACAAGTATTTGAAATACGTATTTCAAATACTTTGTGTATTTTGCATTTGTATTTAATTATAAATTGAGTAATGTATTTGACGTGTGTATTTAAATACTAAAACGTGGGTATTTCAAATACAATTGTGATTAAATATAATTTTGTGGGCGAAAATACATCCTTCAAATTTATTGCCACTGTCCAGAGCAGGAACAAAACTACGTTCTGCACCGAATGCAGTGTGTTTCAATCAAGCACAAGCGTTTAGTGTCTTTGTGGTTACGGTGCTAGTCCAGGGCAAGAATAGTGACGAAATCGACGTTCACAGGCAGACTGGCTAAATAAGTGCCTGTGACAACTTGTGATGCTTTCCAGCCTGATTTCCATCCATATTTTTGCCTGCAACATTCTCAATGCGCGGGTCGTCCAGATTTTCGTGACTGGTGCGAGTTGCAACAATAAAAAATTCTCTAGCTAGTGCTGCGCGTCTTGGTCGTCTCGGTTCTTTGTTGGTCTATAGACCGTTCCATTAGGGTTTTAGCAGAGAGGGTAAAAGAGAAAAAAATGCACTCCGATGTCGTCTGCTCCGCCGACTGGGCTGTAGCTAGCGTCCGGCTGACGTGCAAACTGTGTTTAAAATCGCGTCAATTTGGAACTCTTAAGCGCAGATACGCAGATTTTGGTATGCCAGTTGTCGTGTAATACAATGCTCGATAAAAAGACTCACAGGGTCCAATTGCGCTATTACCTGCGTGCAAATAAAAAAAAAATAGGGAAAACTGTGTCAGATCGGCCGGTCTCTCTAGCGAAAAGTAAATCCGGTTGCTGTACTTTTTTTACTATGCAAAGTTCGTACTGGTGTAGGCCTTTAGCGACCATGAGTGGAAGTCTGAAATAATAAATAAAAACGTGCTCTCCTGCCGCAATACACGCAGTAGTTGAGGCTAGTACTGCCGGCTGACTCAACTGCTATTTAAGTAACGGAAAAAAGATATGCTAGTTTTTCATTTACAGAAATAGAACAACAGAGAGCTATAGGATGATTTTGGAGTAGCCATAACTATTCTAAGAACGCGAACCACTTCACAACGGCAGCCACGAACGAGAGTTCGATGTTCCGTACAGCCCGCCGATACAGCCCAAAGATGGAGAACGGCAACCTCCCGGTTTGTCGTCTGCTAGCGGAGTCGGGCGCGTGCCCTCTCTCTCGTTTTACCCCGCCGAACCCGCTGAATTTCCCGGATGTATGGAGAGGGCGCTGCGGTCGAACAAAATGGTGCCGCCTAGAGAGCGCTAAATGGAATGGTCTATACCAAAATGTAATCGACAAAAAAAGCTGCTTGAAGCTCTGTACTTTTTTCACCTATTACGTCCAAGCTGATTACATTATTTTTTATTTTTTTTGTTTATATTTCTATTAAGTTACTACAGCCTCGCACACTAACTCCCGAGTGTGCGATGCAAAATTAAAATGAGATACCCAGAAACCCGTTGCAGGTGCCCTGAAGTCGCTGACGGAAATTTTGAGGAATGTATTTGGAAAAGTATTTGGAGGAGACCAAATACATTTGGTTGTATTCGTATCTTGTACTTCAATGCTTTTTTGGAAATGTAATTAGATTTGTAATTAAATACAGTTTTGACGATGTATTTTGTATTTGTATTTCGATACATATTTGCATGTATTTTGCCCATCCCTGGCAAAACTGCAGAAACCCTCCAGTACAAAAGTTGCAGAGCGCGTTGAGGATCATCCAGTTTCCATCGAGGCAATATCCTTTGCGTGTAATCTTTTGCAAACTAAAAAAAGGGGAGAAAAAAGGACTTGCGAGATTTACAAAAGTGAACCCCACTTGACAACCCGTTGGCGAACAGCGAGCAGCAGTCTTTAAACACGTGTATTTAATTATTCTTTTAATCATCGCTTTTATTTTTTAAGTTGGAAAAAAAAAACACGCTTTACAACTTTTATATTGTAGGGTATGCGCGCAAATTAATATTTGAACTAATTAATATGCATTTATTAGCCAGTTTGGCATGTCGCAAAAATATATTGACTCGTTCAATAGGACCGCAAAAACACCTCCCTGGTTCGACACACGTGTGCAGCAGTCGTGACACAAGTTACCTGAAGCACCCTGTGTAAAGGTCATACAAAATAGGTGTACATGGCGTCATATATGACGTAGACGTCGCAATCTGTGACGTCATGAGACGCCAAGAATGCACCAGTGCTGCATCGGGGCTAGGTGAGCGCGCGCACTGAGGTTTGCCGTTCCGTTCGGGCTAATAGTGTCCATGACTGTTCCCTTTTTCATTCGTCAAGATTCGTTGGGTTAGTCGACGCGTGACGCTGGGGAAACTTGTACGTGCACAAAAGAGACGGACATTTTGAAGAGGACACGGACGAGCGTTTGTCCCGGACAAACGCTTGTCCGTGTTAGAGCACTATATAGCTCCTTCGGAGCAGAGTAGCGCAATCGAGAACGCCATCTCTCGGCGACTAGCGGCGAACGCCCGGGGGTTCCAACTCCGATCAGAAATGCATGGGGAACGTGAGAAAATCATTGTTTCTTCAATATTGGGGGGATGTACGGAACGTCAATGGTTTTTGACATAATGAAGGAACGTTTTAGAATAATTTGCGCTAAGTTTCGAGCCATTTAAGGACGTAAGTTTTTTTTTTTTTTTTTTAAATTGCCTGAACGGCATCATGCAACAGACGACGCGGCGACGTCACAGCGACGTCGCACCGTCCACGTGACCCGCTCCGGCCAACCCCGAAAGTTCATCTCCGCTGCGCACAAAAATCGTCTGCTTCAAACGCCATTGCCCTGGAAATTGCCTTCTCGCAATTTTCACAAGCTTCCACCATTATTAAAACTTTGATAAAGTGTTTAATGCTTCACCAACTTCACGATAGACTAGTTTCGAAAAGTGTGAACTCGGCGTTTATTTTTTAATCAGCCGTATTGAGTCGATCTCCATGTATTCTCCCATAGAGCGGGCCGCCTTTTGGAACACTGAGTACCACGTGACACGCGCCGAAGTGGTCTGTCGGCCTTCGGTTGTCGGCGAAACACGCGGATCAAAGGATTGCGCTACTCTGCTCCGTAGGAGCTATATAGTGCTCTAGTCTGTGTCCTCCTCTTTAAAGCGTCCGCATGATACACGCGCATGCGCAGTTGGTACCGGAGGGCCAATCGTACCGCATCGGACGCGCAGAAACGGTTTTCTAAAACTCCCTAGTGACGTCATCACGTCGGCGGCAAACACCGTGTCTTTTGCATGATGTGTAACAGAATGACTCCGGCTTTCTGTTCTCATTGAAGTTTTAGTAGATCGTTCCGATACCCCCGATAACGATACGCTGTATGCGCAAAGGCGATGGCCGGAGTATCGAGCATCGTTATCGGAGTCATCGGAACAATCTATAGACCTTTTCGGCTTACTCTCGCCCCGACCGCCAAGTAGGCATATCCGGTATGGGCGACGAAAATATGCCGAAACGTTTCAACCTGCAAATAGTAAAAAAATTGAGGGGACGCAAAACGAGAATGTTTGACGGTTACGCTTTTCTCCTAAATGCTTTCTATTGGCATGGCGACGGCAAAACAATATTTTCGCCCATACTGGAAGTGACGACAATTCAAGTAGGCGGCGCCCTTGAGGAAAGGGTCTATATACTAAAATTCTCTATGTACACTTTACTTTCCGCTGGGCCGCGCCGTTCGAGCAGGCTTCGAGAAGGGTGGACAGAAGAAGCCCATGATGTAATCATTTCGGGAAATCTCTGGCGCGTCTTGGAAGTTGACGTCACAGAGATAAGGCCGACAAACAGTAGATTCTGCGTCTTCCGGAACTTTACTCCTCTCTTTCTGCGAGAGAGGGCATTTCCAGAAATGACGCAAGCATCGATGTCTCATCGTAACCCAACTGTGTCTGTTCCCGAGCGAGGCCGTCAAACGGCTTGCATGCTCCAAATTATGAAGACTCATCCTAAAGGATGAGTCCACGCGGTGAGCTAATACCACGAACAAAATATTATTCATCTCAAGAGTTCCGCATTTTCGCTTCCGACTAAAACTAAATTGCACGGTAAGATTCCGGAGGACATGCGTGCAACACTTCCGAGGTATGCTGAGCGCAAGTTCGTCTGCTTCATCAACAGGGGTCGCAGTGACGTCAGAACGCGGAGCTCTGATTGGCTCTGATTCGAAGAATAGTGGGTGGACCTCAATGCTAGCTGCGTTGATATCTACCTACTATCCTTCCAATCGGAGTCCGCTGTTTGTAATAATATTGATCTGTTACTTGTTCTTTTTGTACTGATTTAAGTTGATATCAATGTATGCAATACGCCTGCTTGGACAGATGCAGAAAACAGGCATGCACTGTCCACGATAACTGGTCCCGGTTTCGTAAGCCATTAGTCAGACAATGCTGTTACCGCGTGCAAAATTAACAAATAAACCCATCATCTTCGAACGTGTCAGTGACATCAATATTGCAACTTTCGATAAACCGCTGAACGTGCTTTTAAAATACTTCAGAAGTAACAGCTAGGTGAAATCTTAACTGCAAGAGAATATGACCTGCTGTGACGAAGGCAGCAGTAGTTCATTCGAATCTGTGTCAATGCTGATTTAATTCATCTAAAATCAGAATGCGGCCACCACCGGAAGGTTGGTGCGCGGCGTTGCATGTACTCACCACGGCGAAGACGACGACGGCGCACAGAAGGAATATCTTGAGTTTCTTCAACCAGACTGCGGACACTGCGGCAAAGGACTTGTCCTCCGAGGGCGCCTCCACATCGGCGAGGTCGTTGCACTCGGCGTAGTCGTCGCGACTCCCCAGCGACGAACATCGACGAGTACGCAAGGGCCCGACGAACGCGAGCAGAGGACTCGTTTCGTCCGGCACGCAAAGTCTGTCGACTCCTCCATCACGATTCTCGGTTGGATCTCCCATCTCCAGAAACTCCGATATGCTGCCGCAACAGCGCGCTGTTGTCGAAGCCAGTTTCTAAACCGGGCGCCGACGGCCTTTCACGGACATGGTCCTCCTCCGCTCGCTACAAGCAGGACGTCGGTCTGATTATGGCAGGGGATGCTCAAGCTGGGCACGGGTCCACAGTTCACCTTGGTTGGCTTGAACGAGAGGAGCAGACAAGATCTCTATTGCGGTCACCCTTTTTGAGTCTTTTCTTGCGTGACCAGAGGACACCGGCCTTCCTGGACTAGGTAAGAAAACACTCACGTGGGACAAGTGCAGACATGTCTTGTCGGCTTCTGGTCCCCATGGGAGCGAGCCAACGGGACAATTTGATATCTTATAGTAGGTAAACAAGCTGTCTCACAGTTGTAACTTGTCCCGGGAGGGGAGATCGAACAAAAAAAAGCTGGAGAACTCGATTCGGCGACCGTCCCGTCGATGTCCCTGAACTAACCAGCGTCACGTGTACCCCAGACACAACCAGCAGAAGACGGTGCCGTGTTTGGTACGGATATCGGGAAACCCGACAACAGGACAACTGGATGGCGTGCACGACCAAGAGATACTTTCTCTTCGCTGTCTCTCGCGATCGGTTCCTACCGAGTCCATGAGTAGAGTGGGCGAGGGCAACTTTCCACGAGGTTTGATGTAGCCGGTGATAAGTGGCGCTGCTCCCGCTGTCTTTTGTCAGGATCAGATGTTTTCGCCCGAAGAGACAGCGTGCGTCCTATTGTTGCTTAGTTATCGGCGCTGCCGATAGCCAGCCCCGGCCCCACCAAGCTGCGACTGACGGCGGCTCGCAGTGACGTTACTATCGCTCCAGCTCCGTACGAGGACCACAACGTCAGCGTCTCTGCTGCCGGCCCAGGAGTCCGCTAGTTCTATTCGAAGCGTTCCTCGAGATAGTGACCGGCTAGAACAGGAAAGCCCCACGCGTTAGCCTAAATGGGTCAATTGTGTCACTTGGTCTCGAAGACAATGGCTGTGGCCGTAAGAATTGCGCTCATTTGCCTGTATTCTGACCCTGTTTATTTAGTTTTTTTAGCAAGAAAGTCGTCACAGGCGTTTGTGACGTCGGTTCTGAAGAGAGCTAAGCTATAGGTGGAGGGTCGAGTGTTGCTTCTCAAGCTTCCATTGTGCCCAGCAAGTGGAGCAGGACTCGCCGGACGACAATGTGCATCTTTCGTTTGGGGAAGAGCAACTAAGGGGTATTCATTCTACAGACCCACGCTTTAAGCCGCCATTACTGTTAATACGTCATACAAAGGACAGTCTGCATACAGATTTGAACGCGAGCCACCGCGAGATTCGCACTTCGAATGCCGCATGGCAACGAGTTCGAAGAGGAAACTTGGGCGCGAGGCATTCGAACCACGGATGTTGCTGTGACTCGTGTTGGCAGACTGTCTTTCGTATGATGGATGAGCAGCGCGACCCCGGCATCAAAGTTAGACTGAGGACAATGCAGTTTGGCGAGGCATTCAACAATTTCTAAGGCTGTCTACCACACCGCAATTCCTAGTCGCAAGCATATTCGGTGACACCTGCTTTTACAAGGTATGAGACTTGTGTTCGAGGTTGATTTCGCCGTTCTTCCCGGCGATGAAACTACCCAAGACACCAACACCAGCACCTAGAGAGAAAGCCGTAGTGCAGAATGTTGTGTTGTTGATGTTGTTCAATACCGCTTCACCGGCAGGATCTCGACCGACGAAAGGGTGAAAGCCGAATCCCGCAGCAACATGGTTTTATTCCAGTAAAGATGAGCCGGTGGGTTTGCTTTCGCCGCATTTATTTTCAAGAGGACGCGGCGACTTTGGATCTCTTGCGCGGAGGGTCGTCGGCTTGTTTCTGCGTGTCGTCTGCTTTGCGTGCGGACGGTTCCACGCCGACGCCTGGGATCTGCGGAAGTCATCACTCAATCAATAGACCATTCCGGAAACACGCAGCGCCTCCCATCGTCTTTTCGACGCACTACAGCAATTCCGACGTACGGCGCGGGTGGGAGTGCACATAAATAGAAGGAGCGGTTCGTGTTCGATTAGCACTTTCGCGATTTCAGAACGCAAAAAGAAGGCTAGACGATAACAAAACGGGGTACTTATCGGCTTTGTGATCAGTTCGCTCTGCTTTCCTTGTGTTCTGAACTCGCAGTGGTAAGAGAGATGGAACTGAGCCACTTCCAGGATGCGCGCGGACCGCGAGAGCCGGCCCGAGCATACATCGGAACGGCCCCACAATTCCCAGCGCCGCGCGGTGCAATGTGCGATTGACGAGAGGCCTTGTGGGATTTTCCGGAAATGTATATCGATCAGGTGAGATGATTATCGTGCGTCATTGATCAACAAAGACGATTACCACGTCATTAATCAACAGAGATGATTATCACATATCATTGTAGATGATTATCATGTCGTTGATCACTGTTCAGAAGAGATGGTTATCTGTATGTTAGCTGCGCCGACCTGCCTATTGCAATTGTCTTAGAACATAGCAGAAGCAACAGCCACACGGTTTAAACAAGCATTGCGGCTAATTGAATTTCGAACGTAATGTCGCTGCGAGGATGCCGACGCGCTTTTTACTCTGGTCTCTGACAGAACGAAAACGACAAGACGTGTCTTCCCGATGACCGAAGTCTAGCACGCGCTCGCTGCCTTCCGTAGTGCTTTGGTTGAGAGTGCAAGCTCGACGATCGCGAGACCCTGAAGTGTTAGTGGAGGTAGAAAGCTCGCGCTGGAAGCAAAAAACAACTAAAAATCGATGTCTTATTAAAAAGAAATCTTTTAGCCTCTTTACTTTGGTGAAAAAGGAAGACCAGCGAAGCTGTATTATGGTGGGAATGAAGTAATGGCCGGCCGCAAGTCGGCAAGCCAGAGAGGAAAGGTTCGAAAGGCTGCCGCCATCTATGAGCGACGGCGGTAGCTGTCCAGAGTCCTGTGTCATCATTTGTTTGTTGACAGACACGATCGTGAGGAAACTAGCCCTTAAAAAAAACCCATAATTTTTTTTTTCTTTTTTTAACAGTTTGGTTAGGACACGCGTGTCGAAAAAATTGATTGCGCGAGACGCGATTTAGCCGGCAGTCACCTCCTTTCCACTTGTTTTCTCTCTCGGCATTTCGGGCGCGTGGAGCGTGGGGCGCCTTCATGACCGAGATGGTCATTCTGGAATGACCAATAACGTCATGAACTTCGCGTGCAGAATTTCAAACAAATCTCTCACCGTTAATATTGCTCTATTTTTTTTTTGCGTAAAATTATTTTTTTACACGCGTGCCCCAACAAAATTGTTAAAAAAAGCTTTTTTTTCCAAAAATTTCTTAACAACTTTGCTGTAAAAAAAAAAAAAAAAAAAAAAACCGGGAAACGTACAATATGCGGTCTGTGCAGGTGAGTTATACGGCCAGGCGAGAATAGTATGGGGGCTAGTCATCACAATAAGTCGAATAATGAACTAAGATGCGTTAATTCACGTCTTAAAAATTGAAAATAAACACGTGTACTCTACGTTACTGCATACCTATACTTCGTTTCAGCTTCGGTCCAGACGCAGCCGATGCTACAAGCGCGAGCATGTGGCCCAGAACAGTGCTTGCACTGCACGGGCGCGCGCGCTTGGCAGGGATGCTGAAAGCCCGGAGCTCGCGCTTGTAGCTTTGGCTGCGTCTGGACCGAAGCTGAAACGAAGTATAGCCAGTGTTTAACCAACACCACCCAGAACAATAAAGGCCTGCAAACGACCTCCACGGAACGTCATAGTCGCTCGACGCGTTGATTGTACACCAGCATAGCCTGGCAGATCGCCACGAGAAGCGGCCGCCGAAATGGAAAAGGCGGAGCGGTCAGACAACGGATGAGAGGAGAGCCACGTGACTGGCGCCCCGCTGCGGCGAGACGCCGAAACATACTTCTCCCGAGCGAACAAGTGTGTTTCGGGTCCTCGCCGCTGCAAAAGCTGTGCGCTGGCGTCCACGTTCCCCGAGAAACGCTCTGTGCTACCAGGTCCTCGCGCTCCAAATCTGCGACCGGGTACTCTATACGCGGCTCCGTCGTCGAACTGATAGGCTTTTTCAGCATAGAGGAGGCTATGACACGAGGCACAGCCGAACGCAGACGCAGCGCTCGTGTCCAATCAGCGTCTTCGCTCGATCTCAATCTGATGACGTCAAAATTCCAGTGCTTTGGCTATCTTAGGTGGCGTAAGTTTAACCCAGACAAAATGTGCTTAGTCACTGGGCTGCGAACGCACACGCGCGATATTTCGCAGAAGCTACTGGGCATAGTAAGCAACGGTGAAGCCGCGCATTATAATGTGCGCTAAAGGTTCAACTGGCGCTAGTGTGCTGCCGCAAATGTAACCAGACAGCAGCCAGTCGAAAATTGACTTCCGGTAATTAACTTCTATGGAAAAAAAAAGTGAGTGCATTTTTTTCCCCCTGCGCTCGATTATAAGATCAAATATCCCGAATAATTCGTACGTACCAGCTATATATAGCTTGGAACATTTCTCAGTCAGGCCGATAAAATATTTGATCAGTTACGGCGTTGTTTATTTTTTA